TGGTTATTAATGCCTTTGTTACCTCGAGACCGGACTATTGAAACGCTCTGTATGTGGGTATGGACCAGGCCTCAATTAGACGCCTGCAGCTAGTCCAAAACGCAGCTGCACGTCTTCTGACTGGCCACAAAAAGCGTGACCACATCACCCCAATTCTGGCCTCACTACACTGGCTTCCAATTCGGTTCCGAATTGATTTTAAAATCCTTTTATTTGTTTTCAAAGCCCTAAATGGGCTGGCTCCGGCCTATATAGCCGAACTCCTCCATCGCTACACCCCAGCCAGAGCTTTAAGGTCTGCTGACCAGCTGTTGCTGATAGTGCCTAAGACCAGGCTCAAAACCCGAGGGCACCGAGCCTTCGCAGCAGCTGGCCCCAGGCTCTGGAACAGTCTGCCCCTCCACGTGAGGAGACACTAGGGTTTTTAAATCCTCACTTAAAAACTCACTTCTTCTCCCTGGCCTTCTAGTCAGAGCGGAGCTTGTGTTTTTGTTTTTTATATTTCTGTTGTAAATTATTGTTTTTTATTGTGATTGTAGTAAAGTGTTTTTATTACATGTACCGCGCTTTGGCTCGACCAAAAATCACTTTTAAATGTGCTATATAAATAAAACTTGATTTGATTTTAAAGCTTCAGAATATTAGCTCATTCAAAATATAAATCAAATGATGAAGTAACATAGACACATAATTATAGGTAAAGATGTATAGATAATCAATATTCATGATACAATCATTTCAAATGGATGAACGTGAAATTGTCGGGACTACTTTTACTTTAGTAAGATTTTGTATGCAGGACTTTCACTTGTAAAAAAGTATTTTAACAATTTAGTAAGTAGCACCCGAGTACTTCTTCCACCTCTGACTGATGCAGGTTGTGTATTACTGTACATGGAGACCAGCTGAACTGACTGTTTCCCGCAGTGCCTCCATCTCCGCCCATGTGTCGGATCCCGTCCTCAGTGACGACGGGCAAGGTGGCCATGTTGACCTGCCATGATGGCGACGGCTCCCCCCCCCCCACGTACAAGTGGTACAAAGACAAGATCCTTATGCCCGCTGATCCCAGCAAGATAGCTGGCTTCCGAAACGCCACTTACAAGCTGTCTGCAGTCAGCGGCAACCTGGTGAGCTTCAACCTGTTACTTTGCAGAATATTTACATCGAAAGCTGTGGTCCCTATGGCCTTTAAAATGAAAGATGTACCCTGTTGCCGCTTCAGGAGTATCCCGCTGTAACCAAGATGGACTCCGGACAGTACTACTGTGAGGCTGTCAACGATGCTGGTCCTCCGCAGCGCTGCAAAGGCCTGCACATGGAAGTCCGTAAGTGCTTTTTGTTCTTCCTAGAGGCCCTATTAAGCTAAGGGGCGGGACATCTCTAAGCGGTTGACCAATAATAGCAGAGCCGGCCAGCTAACCAATCAGAGCAGACTGGGCTCTGGTTTCAGACAGAGGGTGAAAAGAGGCAGTATGAGAACAATAAAGAGCTTTTTGAACATGAAACGCGTTAACATGCCACAGTAGAGGCACAAAATACAAATATGAACCTGAAAATGATCATATTATGTCCTCTTAAAAAAAACATGCGGACACAGTCATTTCTAACTAGTCTCAGCCTGTGCAGTGTGCAGCATGCTATTTAAAGGTTTATGAACAGGTTTAGCTGCTTTTGAAGGAACCAACAGACACTCATAATTTAGAAACAGCTGTCAGTTTTCTTTTATCATTTGGGTGCTGCAACTGTTTCAATTATTACGTTTTAAACACTCCACATTCTTTGACTGTAATTCAGCTAATGCAATATAAAATGTGATGTTTCTCTTCAAGGTGACGTGAACACTGGAGGAATTGTGGCCGGGGTTATTGTGGCTCTGCTGCTCCTGCTGCTGCTGGGACTTGGCATTTGGTATGCCCACAAGAAAGGATACTTTCCCAGTGAGTTTTCCACATTATAAACACAAATTATAGTATATCTGTGATCATCAATATTCTGACATTCAGCGTTGACATTACCAAAAACTGTTCACATCTGAAAAGTTGTTCCCTCTTTTTACAAGTTGAAGAAGTTTCTCGACTCCCACACATAGTCAGCGCAGAGTTAATTGAAATAGTGCCAGGGGAGCAGTTGGGGCGCTCCATATTTGACTTATTATTCATATCGTTATTAACTCCATATTGTTTTTGCTCCAATCAGTACTTAAGATGGAGACCCTTTTGTTCCATACAGACTGAGCTAATGTTTAGCCATGCTATGCAACTCAAAATCCACAGAATATAATAGAAGCCTAATACTGGATGTCCAATACAACATTTGAAATATTAATCATTTTCTGGGAGACAATACTACCTGTCATTTACAACGATAAAATAAGCAGAGTATTGCATATCATTTGTATATTTGCAATATAAACAAAGTACTTTATCCCACTGACGTTTTTCTCATTCTTTCCTTTACAGAGAAGGCAGAGAGGTAAGAGGACTCCCCCCCCCCCCTTTTTTTTTTTTTTACTTTCTAGTAGATTTTAGGAGATAATCTATAAACATCACCATCAGTAGAAAAATGTTTTTTGATACTCGATTGATTTTTGTCTTCTCTAGTCTTATGGAGGTAGATTTGTTTCAATGTTATTTGTGTGAACAGCTCAATAATCTGTGTCTAAAATGGGTCATCTGTAAATGTAAAACACCTTCCACAAATGCAAAGAAAAGATGTGTAAACTCACAGAAATATCTGCAAATACACAAACAAATTCCATAAATAACACATTGATAATAATGAGACACATGTACTTCCATATACTGTGGATATGTATATATTTTAATATATTAATTTTTTATATTTTCAACTTGTGTAATTCTTGTTAACAATGCTGCTGTAACAAAACTATTTCCCAATTCGGTTGAATACAAATATTGATATATCTTGATCCTCAAAACCACATTTCTGATTTTGAATAAATACTTAACATGCAAAGATTTGCACACGGTGGCTTAGACTGCAGAACAAGTAGTGCGATGATGTTTGATGTTACAGGATCTGTGATGAATGAAATGCAGATCCCACTTTTATTTGTATTTTATTTTATAATGATGTCTCTTGTGATGAGCTTCAAATTAGTATTTAAATTCTCCCTGCAGCAAACCAAAGACCAGCGTGGTGTACCAGCCGACGTCTTTGCATTCTGGTGACGGTGGTGGTGGTGATGATGAAGATGTAAGTATGAGCATTGTTCAAAAGATTTATAAATCAATCACGTCTGTTAAGTTGAGGACATTTGCAGGAGGAATTTTCTAGTTCTGATGTTTTTTATATGTCTGTTTTCAGGGGGAATTCAAACAGAAGTCGTCGTTCGTGGTATAGTCTTCAAAAGGGAGATAACCTTTGTTTTAAATGTCTCTCAGCATGGGACTTTTCTGAAGTTTTTAGTGATGTCTGTCATTTTATTAGCTCCTAAATGGCAGTTTTTTTATGGACCATTGTGATTGTTTGTGAGTTGAATTGGACTGTGTGCTTTATTGTCTCGCATGCTTCCAGGTTATAGGACATCATTTAGCAAATGTAGGTTGTGAGACCGCTTTAATTATTTTATATGTTGTTTTAATGAAATGACTCGTGGCTACTTGTGACCTGTTTCAGCCTCAAACGATTTACCATCTATGTTTGGATTGTGTTTCTGTGTGCATCCTCATACTGTGTGTGTTTGCGTTTATCTTTTTACACAAACTTCTCTAATGTACAATATTGTTTTTCTATTAGTTTGTTTTTCTTGTAAATAACTAAACAGTTTTTACAGTTGTAATTTAAAATCATCTTATCCCTGAGCTTCCTTACATTAACTTGAAACTATACTACTACTGCTTTTAGTCATTAACCATTTAGATGCACATTCCCATTTCTAGTTAAACTTGTATTATATTTGTCTGGTCTTGGTGTCTGATTTGTAAGTATTTAAAACTTTTTTTTTGCTCAACTAATTAGTATTTATCAGGGTGTAGACTTAGTCAACTTCCTGTTGAAACAGACATACATCAACCTTCCTGTTGAGTGGAAGTTGATGATTTAAAGTTTTTAAATAATGACCTGCCTGTTTGCAAGGCCTCTTGTGTTGCCTTATACTAACGATAAATTACCCAAACTCTTGTGAGATGATGGTCCTAATATTAGTTCTGTCTCCATGCACAACGATTATATTATTTGTTACCCTTGACCTTTTTCTTAATTCTCAGATCATGTGTTTTAGTGGTACGATCATGTCAGACCATCAATATATCATGAGTTTATAAAATATAATATTTCAGTTACAATATTCACATTTAAAATACTATATTTTCTACATTGCTTCACCTTTCCATGGTAGATCATTTAGAGCTGATGATTCTAACTTTGTCTTATTTGGTTGATAAAATGTTGTTGATAAATTGTGTCTACTGTCATGTTTATAGTAGGTTATATTTAACTTTTCATAAAGACATTTGAGCTACAGTAGGCTATAAATTGCTTATCTTGCTACTTCTATTTATGTGAAGATGATTTTACAGACATGGTCACTGGCTAAAAATAAGGTAATGAGAGGGGAAGACTCACGTCTATTCAATGAAACATCTTGTGACATATGATCTTGAGTTATTCACTCAAACCAAATGTAGGCCTATATCAGAATCATAATATGCCTACATTTATTCGTCCCACAGAGGGGTATTTGATAAAGCCGAAAGAGCCAATGCAGTTCAGAAGAAACTTACATAGCCTAACAATAACGTTACTTGTTTGTTTACCAAGCCACATACACATAGGCCTACTTATATGGTTGAGTAAAGAGGATAATAAATTGGACAAAAACTTCAAAATTACGTTATTTTTTTGTGTTTACAGAGTTTGCCATCCAAGTTGCTAAGGCAACTGAGGATGGCGGGTTTTTTTCTCCTAATCGTTCACTGCGCATGCGTGCAGTGTCGACACCCACTTTCCAGACAGGAAGTGTGACTAACTTTTTCCATCGTATGGCCCTGCCTCGACATTTTTCATCATACTACCTCATCTACACAATAGTACACACAGCGCTTGGGTGTGGGTGTGTTGCTCAGTTTAGTTCTTGTTCAGCATGAGATCTTACCGTACAGGACTTCCGGTCCCCTCACACATCTGTGTACTGTCCCTTTAACTAAGGGGGCCGCACAGTTGAAGCTGCAATATTTTACAGGCTGCTCCTCCGCTCACTCAGGACCCATTCATAAATAACACATCGTGTGGAAAAGAGAGCTCATACAGCATCTGATTTTTAATTAATCGGAACTAGGGACGAGGTGAAATCAGACATGTTCACCTCGGCCGTGGACTGTGTATCGGGGGCACAGCTGAGAGAGCAGGAGTGACTTCCCATGGCTGACCCCCCTGCTGATGGTTTTGACTTTATGTGCGAACCATCAGGAGGCAGCTTGATCCAGCTCGGAGCATTTGTCAAACCCAGAAAAATGCTCGTTTCCTCCGAAGGTTTCCTGCGTGTTTCCGCCTTTCACAACTAACCCTGGTTTAAGCCGCTTTCATCCTTCTTTTTTATTATTCTTTGTTTAATTAAATGAAAATACATCAGAGGAGCCGAGGACCTGACATGCCGATGGAGCAGTGAGTTATGGCAGCCAAAGAGGAACTGTACGCCAAAGTGACGCCGCGGAGGCAGCGCCAGAGCCGGCCGAGCACCGTCAAACATGGGACCACTCTGGACGTGCTGCTGTCCATGGGCTTCCCCAAGACCAGGGCGTGAGTACTGTCCCGAGACACACACTCTCATAGCGAGGTTAAACCAGGCTTCACACCAGCATCCCTCACAGCCAGTCTGTAGTCAAAGTTTCCTCTGGTCTGTGTGTAGTGTCCTCAGCAGCTGGTAGATGCTACGCCTCTGCTCTGAGATGCATGTTGTTTACATGTTCACTTTTATTGAACTGTAGCTTTTGCCCTGCCTGTATCACAGCAGGCTTATGCAATATTATTGATTGACCCTTTTGTGTTTTTTTTTTTAGCCATCGTCATGACTTTGGTTTCCCTTTTAGTGTCAAATACAAATAATACTGTACAACTAAAGTCATAACATGCTCTTACTAGTAGGCTACGCTGTTTTGATACCAAATGCAGATGATTGTGATTGGAAACAATGCAAATGTGGTTCATTTGAAGTACAACAAGTATGTATTGCTGCCAAATGCACCTAAAGGACTAGCTTTCATGTTAAAGCTGCAGTTTAATGTTGTTGATAGTGAACCTAATTGTACAGTCATGTAGTTTAACATACTGTAAAACAAATACTATTGTGTTGTTATTATCTGCAATATTACATATAGCTGAATATGAATGCAGTCTGCATATTCTTTTAGCCATCGTCATGACTTTGGTTTCCCCTTTAGTGTCAAATAATACTGTCCAACTAAAGTCATAACATGCTATTACTAGTACGCTAACCTAACCCTGACTTATTTAGATCATTGTGAACCTTTTTTTACAGTCATGTAGTTTAACATACTGCAAAACAAATCATGTTTTGTTATTATAGTTATTATCTGCAATATTACTTAGAGCTGAATATGAATAATAAATAAATACAAATTGACTCCGAAAGCATTCAAAAAAGCACAATTAGTTTTCTGTTGAGCTTTTTTTCTGTAGCCTACTTCATTGACTCTCCACACCAATGCAACCGAATAACAGAAGCACTTGTATGTTCAGTCTTTGTGTTTCTGTGGGGGTGCGTTTGTGTCCATATGTTGTTTTGACATGTTTCCCCACCACAAAAGAAAAACATCCGAGTACTTTCTGAGTCACGCGTTTCCTTTGCCAACGCTCTTGGTTTTCATTGAAAACCCTGATCCGGTGGGCATTCCTACGTGCTCCGGCTCGACACTTTTTTTCATTCATCCTTGAGAGAAGAAGTTGCCAGGAAACAAGGATCGCTGGTTTGTGAATGTAGTCTATGGATTATGTAATCCTATAAAAAAAAAAAATGACAATGTGTTGCCTGCTTGCTGTTGGGGGGGCAGTTGAACCATTCATGCTTAAATATTGCTTGGACTATTGTAGATGGTTAAGAATACGATTGAAGCAGTATTTGGCATGATGTCACAACATTTGAGCCACAGAAGCATTTCTCTTTTAGAACCAGAAACAAGAGAAATGTGCAACATCGAGGCGTTGCATCTCAATACGTAGATTTCCTATATGGACTGCAGAAAATAACATGTATGCTTTATAAAACCAATCTGTCATCTTGCCACGGTGCTTATGGCCACAGGCACAGTTTTAATTGAAGTTCTGTACGGCCTTACATCTCAGCCTGACTGTGTAACTTCTACCTTATCACATCATCTATAGTCATAACGTGCCTTCCCATTGTTGGTGTTGTCAATGACTCCCACATTATCAAACCCGGTGGTTTCAACAGCCTCTTCGCCCACAAAAGCCTTTTCTGTATGTGGAGCGGGCCTCAAAATGGTGTCCCATCATGTAACAAAAGATGTGAAATACTCAGCAGCAGAAGTCTCAGAGTGTCGAGATAAACCTTGAGATCCATTACTTGTTTCGTTTGCTGAATTGAGTGAAATAAGAGACTGGAATTTAGAAATGACTAGGAGCAGTTTTGCTAAGTAAGCCAAAGCTAGACGGATACAGTATCTCCAAAATGAAGCCTTCTTATCTACTGCAAAGCTGTCTGAGGTCATCGGGCTGTGTTGTTCCAGACTGCAGCTCCTTCTCTAATGAACCGCTGCAGACAACATGAGGGACTGTGGTTGGTTATATTTGCAGACTCACATCTAGTACTGATGATGTACTTGTACTCTCCGAGCGATAAAATAATAATGAAGCAGAATAATCGGCCTGTGTCTGCTGTTATAGCTGTGGAGACAAAACAACAATAAGATAAGCAAATCATCAGTGGTAACAATTCTGAGATACTTGTGCTTTACTTTAGTATTTCCATTTTATGTTACTTTGTACTTCTACTCCACTACAATTCAGAGGTACATGGTGTACTTCTACTGCACTACATGTATTTAATACCTTTTAGTTACTTCACAGATGTGGATGAATGATGTGAAATATAATCAAGTGTTGAATCAGACTTTAGTTCCACCTGGAGTAAATCCACCAGCTACCCTGCAGTATACAAAGTCATTCAAACTAGCTGCAGCTTTGATAACACTTTAAAGATCAATCATTATAAAACATATCAGATATATTATTCTGAAATGGACCAATCTGCATAATTTACTTTTACTTTTGGTACTTTAATTCCATTTTTATGCTAATACTTTTGTACTCTTGAGTAACATTTTGAATGCAGGACTTCTACTTCTAACAGAGTATTTCTACACTCTGGTACTTCTACTTTTACTCAAGTACAAGATCTGAGTACTTCTTCCATCTCTGTGAATAATACAGATACATAGTACCTTAAATACAACACAGGGGACACTTGATGTTTTTGAGTTGGTGTATTCATCAGGTGGGACTTTTCTCTCTGGAGCTTATGGCATTGTAGTTATTACATTGATAGGGAAATATGTGAGAATAGGATGGATATGTTTTGCGCCAACACAAACATGAGTTTCCAATACCATAAAAACACATCTTTGTCATGTTAATACCCATCACATTTAACATTTGACAGGTCAAATAAAGCATTGCCGTTAAATGTATGAACATACAATGCATGTCTTTATTTAGTTGGTAATGTAATCCAGTTAAAAATATAGTTTAGTCTAATTGTAGAAATCAACCTGAGCTGAATAACACTCCCCAATTCCCACCAAACGTTATCAGCATCCTCAATGGCCTAACCTTTTAAAAGAACTCTCTGTTTATGTCCAGCGAGAAAACTTTATCTCCTGCTTTGAGATAAATAACCAAATGAGAACTTTGCATGGCCAGGCTTTGTTGTCACGTTATATCTTTGCCTGTTTTCCATGTATTCCCTGGGAACCTGCTCCTATTTCATTATTAGCCTTACAATCTACCATGTGTTCCCTGACGTTGCAGATTGCACTTGTGAAAAGGGGACTTCCTTGTATCATTACATTACATTAATAATAATAATAATAATACGTTTTATTTCGAGGCGCCTTTCAGGACACCCAAGGTCGCCTTACAGTGCATTTAAAAGTTAAAACAGCTAAAACAAAAACGGAACACAATTTAATCGAACCGACAAGGCAATACAGCGGCATAAAAGCAGGCAAGACAAGAGTGTGGAGTGACGGAGTGAGAGGAGGATCTGTGATAGCAGGTTGAATGTGTTTTAGAGTGAGTAGGCCAGTTTAAACAGGTGGGATTTGAATGTCGTGATGGAGTCAGACTGTTTGATGTGTGGAGGCAGAGAGTTCCAGAGCCTGGGCGCGGTGCAGCTAAAAGCCCTGGCTCCCATGGTGCTAAGGCTGGAGGTGGGGACAGTCAGGAGTCCGGCTGAGGATGAGCGCAGGGAGCGGGAGGGGGTGTATTCCTGGAGGAGGTTTGAGAGATGGGTGGGGGTGAGGTTGTTGAGGGCTTTGTATGTAAGCAGAAGGTTTTTGTAGGCAATCCGGTGCTGAACAGGGAGCCAGTGAAGTTGGATGAGGATGTGGTCAGACGATTTGGTACAGGTAATTAATTATTACATTTCTCTTGTTAGACGCTTTTATCCACAGCTACTTAGATACATTCAGTACTGTGAGCAATCCCCACAGGAGCCATTTGGGGTGAAGTGGGAGGTGTGTGGCGCAGTGGTTTAGTGCGCTGATCTTCGAATCAGAGGATAGCAGGTTCGAGTCCCACTGCAGTCAGCATGTCGTTGTGTCCCTCAGACACTTCACCCCAAATTGTTCCTGTGGGGATTGCCCATGTAAGTCGCTTTGAATAAAAGCGTCTAACAAGTAACATGTAATGTGTCTCGCCCAGGGACACAACGACATGCTGACTGCAGTGGGACTCGAACTTGCTATCCTCTGATTCGAAGATCAGTGCACTACCCACTGAGCCACAGCCTCCCAACCCCTGAGGCTATCATAGTTAAATATTCCTTCTTTGTTGTTTCTTTTCACTCATATTTTCCAATCTTCACTTTTATTGTACTTGTGAAGGATTACCAGTTAATTACAAATCCTAAAAGCTCCTCATTTAGCTTGATTTGACTTCCAACACATTGTTAGCTTCTGTAACTTCTGCAAACAGAACATACTGTGTGAAGTAAATAGGCGTTAGATGGAGGAACTAGACACACACATTCTGGTGTATGTGCAGTTTTTAAATGTCATGTTTGTGGCCAAAATAACTTGAGCAGTCACACCTTAAAATCATCACCCTGAACGACGACCTGTATTACAGTAATAGAGCTATAGACCAAGTGGAGATCTGAGTTTTAACCACTTTATTTTAGACTGCTATTTTAGAAGCAGCCTTATGACCCTAAGTACACAGATGGTATGTCTGCGGCTCCTTCATGTCAGCCATGTGGAAGACCGTTCGACTGAAATAGGAATCTGTTTAATGATGTCGAGGGTTAAAGATTTGTGTAATCATCCACTTTAGCTCTGTGTTGTTTCAGAGGAATAATGTGGCAATTGTGAGCAAGGGAAACAGGAAGTTGATGACCAAAATGTAACAAAACTGACTCTAGTGACGGAGGCTGAGGCTTTTTGACTTTATCTGGTACTGACAACATGTAGATAGAGTCAGCGGAGGAGAAGTTCGGCATGTGATATTTTAGGACCAATCGCAGATGTTCTCACAGACAGTGG